ATATATATATATATATAGGTTAAAACTTATTTATATATGAAATGTATAAAATATGTTATATAGTGCTGTTAATTGATTCAAACATTTGAAATAATCATACTTTTTTTCTGAAATGAATCGCGATATGAAGAGTTCTGTGCCGTTTGAAATTTTCTTCTGTGTAGGTTCAGTAATTTCACTTTAATGGAGTGAGATAACTAAACATAAACATAGGAGCCTGAAAACCTTTAGCAATTTGTTGCTGATCTATTAGATTTTACGCATGTTCATAAACAGAGTTTATTGCTGAAATATGAGATATTGCTTTAATATTATAGCACTCCTTGCACCATGATCAAAAAGCACTTCTTTTTCCCACAGGAATCACATACTCAACTCAAAACACAATTTTGACTTACTTTTGGTCTGCAAATAAAATAGAGGATAAGCAGAGCATATCTATCCCAACACTCTTGTGTTTTAGTCCACGATACCTGCAGTTTATTTATCATCCTGCAGGGGGAAGTGTGGCTCTGTCAGTCCCACCCTGCTCTCTCCCATTGAGAACACAGCCGCTGCACCTGTTGATGCTCTGCAGTCAGCGAGCCTGTGAATAACGTAATGCTCTGTGGGCCTTTTAGGAGCCTCCTCTAAAAGAAACACGTCTGGCCAGTGATGCCGCAATTAATTCTCCTCCGTCGGGCGAAGCTAAGTTGTCTGTGTCTTTTGTCTGCACGCTTTTTATTTCTCCGGAGGACGTCGCGAGCGCTTGATAATCATCTAACGTGGCCGTATTTCCTCCAGCGAGCTTTACAGAAGTATTTTCCTATTTTCTACACATCAAATCTGAGCTGCGGCATTTGTAACGGTGATTACAAGACGCCGAATCTCCAGAGTCCACGATGACAGGACATTCCCATATTCTGAGACATCATATTCCACTGTAAAACTCCTAGAAATCCTTTGGCTACATTAGGCGGCACCAAAAAGTCCAAGTTTGATAGAAACCATTGCAGACATTAATATTTCAGATTACTGTATTTGTGCAAGTCATAGAACTGCAGTGTTTAAGTTCATGACTCCCATACTGGGAGTTCAGGAGGGATACAAGCCAAAGAAGTAGATTCACAACACAGTTTCGGCTCTCCATTATAAACTATTATTCCCATAGCTTTGGAAATACCCAGAACACTGTGAAAGTGTTGTTCTTTTTCCCTTATTTCCTTTTGTAATTCCATCACCCGATTGTTTTTCGCGCGTGTGGAAGTAAATACCGTTGACCTTCATATAGCAAACACTCCCGCCGCTCTCTGCCACGGCCTCCATTAGATGCACTGAGTGCACAGCGCGATTGGCTGCTTTCCAACCCCTTCATCAGAAGCAAGGAGACTTTAGGCCGAGAGTCCTGCAAACTCCCTCGCATAGAGCCCCCTGCCCCTTTTCTGAGCGTCTTCGGCTGGAGAGATTTATGGAGGAACCAGCTGAATACTGAGCTTGGAGGATTTCTCTTAAAACAAGGAGAGTGGAAATTCTTTTGACAGTTTCACAGGCGGGCTTTCAAGCATTGATTTAATAATGTCACTTCAATCCTGGAAAGAGATCAGTGGCAGTCACACAGTGAATCTGAAGCAAATCTCCTGCTCAGATAGATAGATAGATAGATAGATAAATAGATAGAATCAAAATGAGCTAGAATTAAAATGGCATTAAAATGCATCACTTTCCATTTGGAATAATACCAAATGGCCATTTAATCATAACCAGAGGTGGACTTTTAAAAACATTTTTAATTGTACGCATGAACTACAATATCCACTTCACCAGTAGCATTGTGAAGAGCTGTTTGTAATGCTATTAGTGAATTTCTGAAACCACAAAGCAGATCAACATGAAGTATTGGGCCCAAAAGACTCAAAGTTTAGTGCAGTGCAGCAAACATTTCGTTAATTTGAAAAGCTGTTTGGTTAAGGGTTTCTGCTGATAGATAAACAAGTGAATGTTTTTTTGCATATTCTTAATCCCAAGCAAGCAATACAGTCAGATTGTAATGCTATTAGTGAATTTCTGAAACCACAAAGCAGATCAACATGAAGTATTGGGCCCAAAAGACTCAAAGTTTAGTGCAGTGCAGCAAACATTTCGTTAATTTGAAAAGCTGTTTGGTTAAGGGTTTCTGCTGATAGATAAACAAGTGAGTGTTTTTTTGCATATTCTTAATCCCAAGCAAGCAATACAGTCAGATGGGATGGGTGGGTCCAGTTGATTTGAATCTAATTATTTATTTATGTTTGCTATATGTAATTGTTTAAAATAATTTTATAATTTTGTTATATTTTATCATAGTTATATATATATATATATATATATATTTTTTTTTTTGCAGAGAAGGCAATACTATAAGCAACAGACTGTGAAAAATTGCTGACAAAACAACACATTTTTATGATAATTCTTTCAGAGTATAAGCTTAAGTATTTTTATGGTTATTTCAATATTGCCTGGTTAGCTTAGCAACATGCAAATGCCAATCTCTAGCAGACAACAAACAAACAAGGTCTTGAAACGGAGTCACAAAGTGTAAAAAAACAGCTCTGAATTGAGCGTTAATTCATATAAACCACTGAATACTAAGCACAGCACTAAATGAGGTCGCTTTTTGAATTCCTAGTGGACAGCTTGTGTAGCCTATATAGTAATGTGACCATTTTGATAATACATATACAGATTCTTGGCATTAACGAATAATTGTGAATCCCTGGTGTTTTATCGCTTCTCATTCAATATTCTCAATTAGAATTGATAGGAAATATTGTACATTTAAAAAGAAAACCTAACTGTCACTGTAAGAGGAGGGGAAATATAGTAACAAATGTTAGATTCAATCTTCTTGCTGTTTCGCTTCAGTAGTCATTGCAAAAAGCAAAAAAATATTATATATATAAATATGAATGAATGAATGTCATTATAGATTAGGGTGACCATACGTGCCACTTTCCCAGGATGCGTCCTGGCCAGGATTTCTATATTGCCTAAAATATCTAGGTTTTGGCTTTGTTTGCGTGTGCAGACCGATCGGTGTATGACATCAAAATGCCTCGAGAGCATTTTGAAAGCATAAGGAACCTTCCGTATGGTATTTTGATGTCATACACCGATCGGTCTGCACACGCAAACAAAGCCAAAACCTAGATATTTTAGGCAATATAGAAATCCTGGCTAGGACGCGTCCTGGGAAAATGGCACGTATGGTCACCCTATTATAGATATTGTTTTAAATATTGTTTTTCTTAATAAAAAATAAAGGACAAACTCATTTCATAATGACACTGTACATTTAACAGCTATAACAAAGATGTATGATGCATGTTACACAGCAATGTTGTTGTGTGTGACCTCGTAGTTGCGTTGCAAGAAATCAAGCCATCAGTGTCCTAATATTTAGTACAACAAGACCCTTGGACGTATTCTTGTTCACGATATACTGATTGACGACATGGGGAATAAGGGGTGCTATGAGACACATCCGCGCTTACCTCAGGCACCAGACCTGTCACTGGCTTAAAGAACGGAAATGAAGTCTTCTCCCGGAGTGTCTCTTTCTCCGCCATCTTGTTTTTGATCTCATTTAACCTTTTGTGCCATACTGAGAAATCTTTTCGCTCTGACAGGCAGAGTCACATGCTTTTTTGTTCCCTCTCCATCATCCCAGTGTTATTGCATTCTGTTGATATGGCTCTTTAGTGCCCGAATGATGTATGTTCTTATTACATTTTATTAATAAACAGCACAACAGAGCGTGACATGAGAAAGTGAGAGCGAAAGAGAGGTCAATTTGAATATGAATGATACATACAGATGCTTCCAATAAATATTAGCCTGTTTCTAACATGCTAGCTAGCAAAAAAAAAGTTTTTTTTTCTGCCAAAAACAAATCGGGTGTGTATATTCATGTAGCTAATTACTGTTATTATGATTAACATTTAGCTTTGAAAGCTATGTTTGTAGTAGCTTCTAAAACACTGTTTTTCAGACGTATTTTCTGATGAGACATTACATTTTTAAGGTTGTTGGTCAGGCTGAACATTTTAATTGATATTTACTTGTGGTAAATGTCAAGTCAGCTGTTTTTCATTAATATTAACTTTGATCTGGCTTGAATCAATTCTTAAGGTAAGGTTACATTAGCCAATGTTTGGCTAAATGTTTTGGCCTCACGTAAAAAAAAAATCACATGTATTTCTTATTAAAAAAGACTGGATTTACTTCCTAAAATTAGCAAATTAATGCTAAATGTGACCACATTTTTTCTGCTTTAGGGAGAATCTTTGAATGTTTCATGCAAACTGTATTATAAACATCCTGTATTATAAAGATACTGAATGTTCTCTCTATGCTCTTCTAAAGAGGTCAACTGTCGGACTGCTGTTGCGAAAGGCTACATTGCGGATCTTCTGAAGCTGTACGAAGACTGGCACAACAATGACGTCAACCTTAAGAACATTCCTATCCGTAGAGCCCTACTTCATTGTCTGCAACGTGCCTCCAACTCAGCTGTGGGCAGAGACACCCTGGTCGCCGAAGGTGGCATTAGTCTTCTCTTCCAGACCACTCAGGTGATATTTCAGTCCACTATTTGGTCCCAAAGTTATTGTTACATCTCCCATCCTTGTGTTTTTTTGTGCAATTGAACTTTTTTTTACTACCTTCTGTAATTACATTTCTCTATTCCTAAGGCTTTTATAATTTCTACTTTTGAATCACACTGTGATTATTATCGGCTTTGCTAAGTAAACCGGCCCCAGACATTACCAGATGCTCTAACTGTCTGCTAATGTACTGTAAAGAAGCAAATTTTAGCTTCTGATGCATATTTTGCCCAGAGGAAATGCCGCTTGGAGATGACATGTAGCGCCTTGAAGTGTTTCTAACCGACTGCATTTCATCTGAAGACCTGCTTGACCATGAAAGGCCTTGAATCTCTGGCGGAACCGGCGATCCAGCTGATGAGGAAGTGGAATCCCAAAGTCCCTCTTCCACTGACCTCAGATAAGAGCGCCTTCAGCTTTCCTCTTCCTGGGAGGCCTGTCGATGACTGGGATGCTGATTTAGGACTTACGGGTAAGGTTTATGTTCCCTAGGTTTTTAAGCCAGGTTCTTTATTACACTGCCAAACACCCAACAGTTACTATTATTCTCCTCTCACATGTGTCCATTAGGGACACCGAGTCTGTCCCAATAGAGATATTTAGCCTTTACACACTGCCTCTGGCTATTAGTGCCTGACAAAGTCCTTATCAGCCAGGCCAAATTTGCCGTTGTTATCACACAGGCGCTGGGCATTTAATGACTCTAGAAAATTCTTTCAATGTCAACACAATATATTCCAATTTTCCTCTATTAGACTTCGATAGCAGGAATAGTGTAATGTAGAGTACGTGAGCTGGGAAAGTGTTTATATCCAGACTACTCCTTGATTCCCTCCAAGCATCAAATTGCTTTTCATGAATTAATACAATTATAAACAAATATATAGACTAGATAAAAAAAACAAAAGGCTGATTATAATGCACTGGACACATGACCATGTCTACACTTTATATAATAATTTTTTTTTAATTTAAGATAATTAAGATATAGTTTATTTTAAAATTCTTAAAATAATATAT